TGACCCCGCAGGCCAGATTCAGCCATGTTCAGGCCCAGATCCAGCCATCCAGGACCCCAACCCCCATGGGCCAGAAACCTAGTGCAACCTGACCCCAGCAACCTAGTGCAGTGCAGCATAAAGCCAAAACATATGGCCCATGATGCTTTCCACTGGTCCAGAAATTTGGCAGCAGGGAAACAGCCATTAATGCTGCCAACCACTCCCTTGTCACCAAATTTCCAGACCTAAGGGAAGATCCATGGGCCAGATAACATGGTGCCACAGGCCAGAAGTTGAGCACCAGTGAACTAGACTATTTGGTTCTTTTGCTTTAATTCAATGAGAACACTGTATAAACCTCCTCATGATCAGAAACCAAAGCAGCCCCAAACCAGCACACTCTGCTAGTAGCTATTTAATTGTTTGATGATGAACTGGAAAAAAATAACTTCCTGGAGATCAAGTCTATGAACTGATACACAAATTGGTAGCATACAAGAAAGCTTGTCTTGTAACTCTGTATTGCAATGGAGGGGTAGGGAAAAGAACACCAAATCTGCTAGGCAGCTCATTTAGGGGTACATTTATTTCATCATTTAAAATTAAACAATTCTGTACCACAGAAGCTAAATATTTCTAACACAATCACCAATTGATTGGTTTATATTAATAAGAGCTGTACCTGCAACCGGAAGGGCCAGAGAAAGAGGCTTACATAAAAAACAGATTACACTACATTCAACAGGATTTTTTCTGCTCTGTGGATCTGGATTGCCCCAGGACAATAACTGTAGTGGTAACAAATAATCAGAGTAATATTACTGAAAATAGCAGCGCATACTGACCAGGGTCAAGGGACGGTGATGCCAAGTAACTGAGATGCAAAGAACATGCCTGTGAAGCCATTCCAACATGTCAAAGCATTAGATCTGGAAGACACATTTACACAGGCACAAACTAGGTGAAAGTTGCTTTTCTTCATGTTTGCTATCAAAACACAATAGCTGCAAAAAGCAAGTGTTCCACATTTTGCCATCACTTTCACCAATTTTAACTTTTAACATTGACACACCACATGGATGATTTTATCATAGCAAGCCTTAGGGCGGTTTCATATTTCTCACAGCTTAAAACAGCCATAAAACAGGAGCCATTATGTGCACAGAGTATTAGTCAAATAAGATTTTCCGAAGATTCCAAGGTGCTGATTAAACGCTGTAAAATGTTTTTATTCAAATGAGGGTTACAGCTTTTTTCAGTTAAGCCTGAGCAATTTTAGCTGGGAGGCGAAAATTGCGAAATGTTTGTACCACGTGGAGTTTTGGGGGCGGTCAGTGGTAGGGGATGGGAAAGCAACACTCTTAATTTCACAGAGGTGTTGTTGCCTGAGCTTTGGAAAAGAGTTTTGCTTCTGGAGACACTTCAGTGCCATTCTAAATGCTTTCAAAGGAGAATATTGGAGTACTACATAGTGGCCAGACTCAGCCCTAACGTCATTTGCAGAGCTTTGCAGAAGCCAATGGAATTACACCCAGGGTGAATTTGGTCCAACATGTCATAATGTTTTATTTATTTCTTAAGTTATTTGGACCATTCACGCATACACAATGCTAAACTCTTTACATGCTTGAATTTGATCTGGTGCCAGCATATTTCATAACAAAGGTTTTGGTAGGAAATTAACTATCTTGGGTTTATATACACTATTTGTTTTCATACACTTTCCTAATACTTCATGGACAAAGCATCCCTCAACTTACTTTATATAGTCCACGTAGTAACAATATGCATATAAAGCAGTCCTATATTTTTCATACTTTTTCATCTACATGTTTTTGTACACTACGTGAAGAACGCTACGTAAATACAAGTCATAACCATGGCACTCCTCCCAACTCAACAGTTTTAAGTTACACAATTAATTTATGAAAAAAAAACCAGTAGCGGAAGCTAAATGCAAAGATTTCAGCATTTCAAGCAAATACTCTACAGCGAGATAGAAAGCTCAATCAAACATTACAACCCTTCAGAATTTGAAACAGTTCTCCCTTCCATCCTCAGAGAAGGCAAAAATAGCATTCAGATAAACTACAGAAAATTGTAAAGCAAAGCCAAGAAACCCAATGCAGTTCACACCTCATAGCAGACTATTCTAACTTTCTACTCAAAATGCTCTGTATTGCATGAACTGAAATTGTAGTTTAGGCATTAGGGTCCTAGACTCCCAACCATAGTAAGGTAGAGCAGGGGGATCTACCTCTCTTCCCAAATCACTGAAGCTGATAACTTTTTTCACTGCCCATATTAAGGAGTATGTTCTCAGGAGAGAACTATATCTTGCAGGGGGCCCCAAAAAATTGTGGGCTGGCTCTGCCTGCAGATTGTATTTTTAACTCATTTCAAAGAAGTTATATTTGCTTTTGCTTCAATCTTAAATTGAATAATCCAGCCCTAGGCACCCAGCATGTTAGGAAAGCTTTGAGTTTATTTTTAACTGGAGAAATGTGTGTGTTGTGTTACGTGATGCACCCTACATATGCACCACCCTTTTCAAAATCCTAGATTTGCCCACGCAATAATGTTGTTTTGTTTTTCCTATCCCTCTGCAGAAATCAACAGCCAGAAAACAGAAGTCAGGCCTATTTGATGTGCACTGGGAACCTGGGCCAATGCCCATCAAGTAAAATTGAAAGCATCCCTTAATATGGGGGACCATTACATGCACATCAAGAGATTACCAGGGACAACTAGGAGCAGAAAACAGGAAGTGAAGGTCTAAGGCTTAAAACGAGCGCACCAAAGGGGGACACCAAGCAGAGCATACCAGCCAGTGGCTACTGGCTCATTTTCAAATGAGTCCAAGGAGCTAGTGGATACTGCCCAGTGAAACTCTGTCCAGAGTTGTAAATGGACAAGGAACAGGAATGTGGCCCTGCTGTCCCTGGGGGGAGCAGCACCTGGCCACAGCCTCCTTCTTGGTTAGGTAGATGGGGAGTTTGGCTAGGGACACAAGGAGGTTGACCAGGAGGCCCTGGAGCTTGGTGGGGCCATGGACAGGGAGTGCAGGGAATACAGCAGCCAGAAACTCAGCAGGAGGTTCTACTGGAGGCAACAGGGGGGCTGTGGCAGAAAAGAAGGCAAGAAGAAGTAAGAAATGAGGACTTTGAACTTCTTTTGATCTGGAACACACTCTGCGGGCTCAGCATAACTATTAACAACCCGGCAAGCATGGACGGTGCTCTGCGTCATTAAAGGGCCCACATATCACTAGCTGCCTTGCACTGGTGGCAATGGAAAGCAGCCGCTGTAAGCACGGAAAAGGAGCATGTGCTGGCAGCACAGGATCTTAGCTTCTGAGGAAAAGGCTGTTGCCTCTGAAATGAGCTGACTGAGATACAGAGCGGCAGCAAGGAGAGGCACGAATCATAGAACACGAGGGCTGGAAGGGACCTCAGGAGGTCATCTAGTCCACTGGTTTTCAACCTTTTTTATACCAGGACCCATTTGAAAACATTGATGGCCAGTCACCACCCAGCAAATAGTTTTAATAGAAAACAGCTCCCTGCTGCTGCTGGTGCCCTTCACTCCCAACCCACTGCATCCAGGCCCCAGTCCCAGTGTGTGGGGTGGGGGGCCCCAAGCAGCCCCTCGCAGGCTGGAGCTCTGCCAGCCTGCAAGGGAAAAGCCATGGTTTTCCACGATTTTCTCCTTTAAGAGAGAATCCATTTTAAAGTTTCCTTATAACTTTTTCACATAGTCTTGCAACCCACTTTCAGGTCACAACCCAGGGGTTGAGCAACACTGCTGTAGCTCACCCCCTGCTCAAAGCAGGGCCATCCCCAACTACAATCACCCATGAACACCATGTGCCCCAGGAGGCTGGGGGGGGAAGTGTACAGTGAGCTCCTGCAGGTGGCAACAGTGCTGTGGGTGGTGGGGGCAAGTGGGGCCCACAGTGCTGTCGGCAGGAGGGGAGGGGGTGGTGAGCGCCGGCCAGAAGTCGGTGACACCATGGGCAGCATCAGTGGTGTCCAGCAGCAATTGTGGATCACCTGCAGGTGCCGCCAGCGGTGTTGGCAGTGAGTGGCGGGGGGTGACTAGCAACGACTGCCTGCAGACACTGCCGGCAGGGGTAGTGGCGACTTTTCGCAGGGGGTGCACTGCCACGCTCAGGGGTGCCTGTGCACTCCCTGTGTGTCACCAATGACATCACCCCAGCCAAGGCTTTGTCTAGCAGGTCTTAAAACTCCCCAAGGATGGAGATGCCACCACCTTGCGCCTCACCACCCTCCTAGCGAGAAAGTTTTCCCCGAGATCCAACCTGAACCCCCCTTGCTGCAACTTGTCCTTGCTCCGTCACCTGCCAGGGCCCGGAACAGCCCAGCCCCACTCCCTGTGCAACCCCCTGCAGGTAGTTAAAGGCTGCCCCGTGGCCCCAGCCCCCCCGCGCCCCCTCCTCCACTCC